TGTGTTTTGAGACGTCGCCCTGACAACTTGACTGTATCTATTTGCCCTTCCGGGTGGGGAGAAGCACTGTGAGAGTGAAATATGTCTGGTAGCGATGCAACACAATGGTTACGATCACGGTTTCAACTATTGAAAAGTAATGGTCAGATCGCACGTCCGATGAGAAAAGCTCTTCGACAGAGCGCGTCCAAACAGAAACATCGTAGTAAAACCAAAATGAGCTACGAGAATTAAAAAAACGATGAATAAAACATACCTCCACGGGAATGTTGTTGAACTTAGTGATAAAAGCGTGTTTGATCCAATCCACAAAGTACTCAGAAGACAACACAGCTAACAGGTACGGGCAGATAACGTACAAATGTTCTACAAGGACAAATAATTTCGTTTAAGGTTTACCATTTTCCGCTACACGTGCATATGTAACTTTAAACACCTCAAAAAGTACTAAGTTACTTTAAAATCTGTCTTTGTATTGATGTATAGAATAAAAATACATGACACTTTTCTCGGTGGCTTCAAGGTCGGCACACCCTAGAGGACATAATATTGCGGGGAAATAAACCGGGACATGTCGCAGCGACAGTTTCCCTCGTGTGACGCGCCCGTTTTTACGAGAAAGTTATGTTGCGGCGAAAAACTTTTGTCTTTGCTACATGTTGCATGAAATTCAGCTGGTTTGAATTTATGCGTCACGAAGCAGGGACAAAATGATCTATATTTTTAATGTCGCATCGTATGCACTGCTCTCGCAAACTGTCCCCGCTACAACAGAAATGAACCAATATCCGCTTCGCGTGCACCAGCTTGCTCACTGTCCCTACAACATGCGTCCTATGTGTACACACGAAGGAGCTTATCCCTACTAACATGTCCCCTAGCGTGAACCGACCTTCAACCGGATAAAACGGTGGATAAAAGTACAGGCTACAGCATACAATTACTTACCAAGGTTCCAGTTAAATTCTGTCAAATTTCGAAGGGTGACAATTGATACTAACACTATGTAATAGAATCTCTCTCTGATATCTGCATAAAAAGAATAGCGAAAATTTATACAGTGTTGTGAGCAACACAAAGTCAACCTATCGCAGATTGAAGTTATACAACGCCGCGTTCTACATCAATCTAGATAAATTTGAAAACGATGTTTTCGCCCTAAAAACGGCTAAAATGTTTCCCTTTCACTCTAATTCGGATAAATTTGAAAACACAACTTCTTTCTCCGGTTTGGCCTTCCGTCCACTCTAAAACGCTTTAATGTGCTTTGTGGCGCCAGCATTTTCACAAAACCCCATTAACATCGCCTTTCATCAAGCAAGCATTCTTAGAAAGCTCCGCTTTCGGTATGGAGAGTAAGCCACACCGAAGATGGGAGAGAAAAAAGACGCGTTTTACGAGTACATGTCTCAAATTGAAACACCACACAAATTTAGAGACTGACTTGAGCCGTTTTCTCAGCATCTGACCAATCACAAAGCGCACATAACGAAATGAACCAATCACAGCTCGCAGCAAAAATATAATGTGTAACCCGTGGGAAGCGCGGGAAAACGTACATACCCACGTGACAATTGGTACCGCTCCTGGCCCCAGTCGTTCGGAGGCTGGATAACCCTATCCACCGGATAAATCGCTATCCAGCAGATGAGTGTTATAAAACAAACAACGCTATCCGCTGGATAGTGATTTATCCGGTGGATAGTGTTATCCACCTTTCGAACAACCAAGGTCTGATTGTTTAAAAAGTAAGGTTACTTCTCTGTGGTATGACTCACGGAAGTTTTTTGATATTAATTTAAAAAATAGCCCACGTAAAAACAAAGANCTTTCGGTATGGAGAGTAAGCCACACCGAAGATGGGAGAGAAAAAAAGATGCGTTTTACGAGTACATGTCTCAAATTGAAACGCCACACAAATTTAGAGGCTGACTTGAGCCGTTTTCTCAGCACCTGACCAATCACAAAGCGCACATAACGAAATGAACCAATCACAGCGCGCAGCAAAAATATAATGTGTAACCCGTGGCAAGCGCGGGAAAACGTACACACCCACGTGACAATTGGTACCGCTCCCGGCCCCAGTTGTTCGGAGGCTGGATAACCCTATCCGACGGATAAATCGCTATCCAGCGGATAAGTGTTATAAAACAAACAACGCTATCCGCTGGATAGTGATTTATCCGCTGGATAGCGTTATCCACCTTTCGAACAACCAAGGTCTGATTGTTTAAAAAGTAAGGTTCCTTCTCTGTGGTATGACTCACGGAAGTTTTTTGATATTAATTTAAAAAATAGCCCACGTAAAAACAAAGATAGAATGTTATATATAATTTTCTAGAGTCAACTGAAACATGCCATCTCAAGAGTTAAAATTGAATTCAACCAGTTTTTACATTTAGTTTTGTTATCATACCACTGCAGGCCATTTGGAATAAGTTGTTCTTCTCAAATCTTTTGAAGACACTGCCTTTCAGCTCCACAAACTGCAAATTTCAAAGTAACATGCTAAAATTAACCGATGATCCAGTCACATGGAAAAAGATTCAATGTCCGTAAGAATCTTTCCTAAAGGCTTGTTTTCACTAGTGACGGGGTCATAGTCGGAGTCGTACTCAGAAGCGTAGAGTGATACGATCTACTGAAAATAAAACTGACGGAGTCGGAAGCAGAACACCACATCCGCTTATGACTCCGTCGCTTACGATCCTGTAAAAACAAGATTGTCGGAGTCGGAAGCAGAAGCGGAAGAATAAACCAATCACAATGTTCGATACCGGGCCTTGTGATCGGTTGGTTCTTCCGTTTCTGCTTCCGACAATCCAGTTTTCCCTGGATCATAAACGACGGAGTCGTAAACGGAATCGGAAGAAATGGAAACGTCCTGATTCTTCCGACTCCGATTCCGTCGAGCTTATATGACTCCGCTTACAACTCTGATTTTCGATTTTTACTAGGTTATAAGCGCTCTTATGACTCCGACTCCGACTCCGTCTCTAGAGAAAATCAGTCTTAACAATGTAGACAATCCAACAGAAACTAAAAAGTTTAGTATCGCATCAGGGCACGAATAGTTATGGTGAAATATCAACTTGCACCCAGTAAAAAGTATACGGTAAAGTAAACTCCTAGCTTAAGAAAACAGCTACATTTCCACATTCACTTATTTCTATTTCCAAGTCTCTGATTTAACTTGAAAAATTACAACCTCGAGAAAGAGTCAACAGGAAAAAATACACACTGATGATGCTCAAGGCTGTAACGTTCTGTGTTGATTCCACACACCTGTTGCTTGGTTACGATTTCCCCATGCATGGCAACCTTTAACAACCAATCAAAACACTACACTGTTCTCTGTAGCGTTACGTCATCTGTATGGGATTTCTGCCTTGAATCACAGCAACCTTGTTAACAGGGCCCTCTCCCTTGACTCAAGAAAGGGCCCTAGGAAATTTTTTGAAATCTTAGACATCTCTTGTGTGGCAAATTTAGTGTTCAATAAGATATGTTTACCTTACCTGGTTAGACACCATTATTACTAACAAGGCTTTGTTGTGCGAGTTCACGGCAACATTGAGGCAGATGGCTTGAAAGAGAACTAACACGGCGTGGAAAACTATAAAGGTTAAGACTGAAAAACTACAGCAGAGAAAATCTCTTTGATTATATATTTCTGAAATATGCTCATAATGCAGAAACCCTTTTGATGAAAAAATACTCAAAATACTCCTTCAAAATGTAAGCTCAAGAATACTAAAGATGCAAAACTTTCACTGTCAACATATCTCTCCCAAAATACGAAAAGAAAAAAGTGAATAAACAAATAAACAATTCTTTTCAACAACCTCAGAGAGCATGCTTTAATTTTGAAGAAAGCTATCAACTAAGGGCAAAAGTAATAATAGCTATAAGTTTTGTGAATGCAAACATCAAGGTTTGTAGGGATGTCAAGTTTTGTAGCGACACAAGTTTTGTGGGGAAGTCAAGGTTAGAAAATAAAATAGTAAATTTCAGAGAAGTCAAACAAAGGATACAGACATAAACAACTGCCATAACGAAATGTGGAATAATACCAATGTGTTCTCTTCTTCTGTCCCTGGGTTCAGTTGCAGTCCAAAACAGAGCGTCTAAGATGTCTTGTCCAAACGAAGAAAACAATCTGTCTGCTATCTACAAGCAAAAATGAACATTAAGGAAAGAATGATTTGCAAAGTCAATGATAGTACACAATTTTGTCTCTGTTCGTTGATGTTATTGTTGCCTTATTCTTACTAATTTCCTATTTTGTGAATAATAATAATTATTCTTTTCGCGATTCCAGGAAAAACTCTGTATACAAGTACAAAAAGTGAACAAAAACATACAATATCTTTGTTGGGCTTCATAACCAGTCTCCTATATGAACTAAGCTCTCACAGCGTATCTCTTTCCCCAGGCACTCCAAAGACACATGTACATATGGAAAGCAGCAAAACCTTACAAAATGTCACAACGGGGGAGGGGTAACTTGTATGGAGAAGCATTCCATCCAGGGAAGAAGCATACCCTAAACTGCTGCTTATAAGCAACTTTGTAAGGGGTTTTGGATGGGTTTATATCAGGAGGGGCTTAAAACCAGGAATGCTTATAAGTGGAATAAGAAAAAAAAATGTTTTGAAATGAGCTAAAGCAATGTTCATGGAAATACGATTTTCATATCCTGGGTTTTAATTAAGCTTTAAAACACCATAATATATCGAATTCATTTCACTTTAAACTAGAATGGGCTTATATCCAGGAGAACTTACAAGCAAAAGTTACATTTTGTTTACAGGTAGATGGGCCTATAACAGGGTTCGACACCTGGCTACCTGCATTACTAGCCACCGGGCTAGTGGTTTCTAAAATTTACTAGCCTGAAACACAACTTGGTAGCCCGGATCAGTTTCCCTCAAGGTCTACTTCAACCCCAAACACGCAAACTTTCCTCTAAACTTATTGGCAAGGTCTTTTAAAATGATAAAGAATGGCATTTTTTCTTTCATTGTGACAACATAATGTGTTATTTAAGGAAAAAGCTAAGTAAATTTTTGTTTCACATTCACTTGACTGTGTCTTTAATAGAGCTTCAGTTCACGTTTAAAGTTCTAGCTTCCAAAACAAAAAGAACTTGAGCAATCATACTTTCTTCAGACAAAGAAAAACATTTTGCCCTCTTTGTTTACGACATGGTATTCAAGCCATGGGAAACTTTCTTTCCACGATGGATTAAAAGTTCTCTTTCTCTGAGTGCTCTCACAAATCTTACTGCTTTCCTGTTTACTGGTACTTTCAGTTTCGGCCGTTTTCCCCTTTTGACATGGTGGCGCCTCATAATTTGTCAAAAATCGCTCCATCTTTACAATTGCTTCAAGTGCGAGGTGATTGTGTGAGGTGATATGCAAGGCATCACAACATTGGTAGGGAGAAGACTGGGGAAGACATTGACCATTAAGTGCAGAGTCTGGGATCTAGCGATGTTCACGATCGACACGCAAGACAAAAAAAGAAGCCAGAAGATGATAGGTTTATGCCTTCTTTATTGATAATATCATTACAATTTAAACTTTGTTGTTTTTTAATCAACTGTGAACTCAAGTAAACTAATTATATGTAATTTCTTTCAATTTTTCTACTAGCCAGTGGGCTATTAAACATGGTTGTTTACTAGCCCGACCAAATTTTTACTAATCTCGGGCTACCAGGCTAGCTGAGATGTCGAACCCTGTATAACCAGAGGGGTTTACAAGCGGAGGGCATATGAGCAGCAGTTTATGGTATAAACCCAAGTTGCTTTTTGCTACAGAAATATTTTAGCATCCAAGTGCCAGAGACCCATTTTGCAGCTTTGAGCCATGTACTAATGAACAAAATATGGTAAATTGTTTACCTCTAACATGTTGTAAATGACATAGAGTTTGATGACTGATTGTCCTCGCACCGTATGATACAGAACTGAAAAATCCACATGAGTTAAAAGCAACCAACAAGCCACAAGAATGGACCCTGAAAATGATTTAGAAAAAAGTAATCGATGGTTAATATCCTGAAGAAATAAAATCAGGGGCTGATTTAGGAGGGCAAAGGCATCATGTCCCCCAACAACACCCTTCCCATTTCTTGTATTTTGTTTTAAGGTAACCAGTCATGATTCACAGCCCCTCACTTTCAAAGATGTTCATGCAGCAAGGCTGTGCTCTTGCCAAACATTTTCCTGGCCCCCTCTTTCTGATTTCCTGGATCTGCTCCTGACAATGGATGTTTCAGAAACTAAAAATTAATTTAAAAATTATTAAAATTAAAACGGTATTCAAAAATACTGAATAAAAAAGAAAATGTTACCTTTTAGTAAATCACAGATTTGAACAGGCTGTAACATGCGTGACCTGTATAACAGGTTGAAAAACTTTATTCTACACAATGTTTTATTTTACACAAAGGGCCTTATTTATTGTCATAATGCCTTTCAATATCACATGGACCTAAAACTGTTTGACTATGTTCTTTGCTGCCATCAATTATAATTACCGTAGTGCCAACGAATGAACTTTGAAAATAAAAGAAACAAGCAAAATGCGGAAAAATCTACCAATCACCCAAAAATGTGATGTTTTGAACCACTGAAATGAACTTTTGTTTCTAGTCTGAAATATTAGAAGTGATCTCACCCTAACCCTTGAGAGGCACAGACAGAGAAGGAATTATTTTGAGGGGATTAGGGAGAGAAACCATGTGATATTTCAGATCTATCAGGAGGACTCTGACTGGTATTATTTCTAAGTTGGGGTTTCTCATGAAATGCTTAACATCTGATAATGGATAATGGCATAAAAGAGAATAGCCTACCAGACAGTCCTCAATGACTACATATCTTGTGCAACCCTTATAATAATTACTGAAACTAACCACTGCCGAGTCAGCAATATTCAGGCTAATTGCTAGTAAGACTAACAGTAGTGCTATTCAAGCTTTGAACTGATAATTTATTCAGACTGAGTGGAGTACTTATCAGGCTGACCAAACAAAACAAATTCTCTTTAAGCCGATTTCTTTTATGCCGATACGTCATGATACATTTTCCTATTTAAACAAATGAATACAAAGTAGCTTGAGTCTGTGACGGATGAATATTTCTCACATATAATAAACACACTAGTCTTATTTACTTACGTTCTACAAAATAACAGCCCAGTAATGATCTTGTACATAACAACGATCAAGCGCAATGGAAGGAATGTAAACATGAATAAAAAACAATCCAGGCATAACATGAAACCAAATATCATCAACTGAAAAACAAAACAAAGTAGAAACAAGATATTAAAAAAATACCACAGTTAAACTAACTTGCTAATTGTTCAGCCATGATAAAGCCATTGGCCAATGTATACAAGTGAGCACTTGAAGTACTGGTGATTATCTTAACTTAGTTTTCTCAAAATCATTATTTATTCATCTAGTTAAAGAAAGGAAATTGAGACCATGACAGTGAATGGATAATCGATCTTAATGCTAAATGGCTATTTTTACGATTTTATTTCTGTTTCCTCCTCAGTTTTAGTTTCAATTGAGAAGATATATCAAACACTCAAGACAGTGTTTAACCACATTTCAAAACACCTTTATAAAATAATAAACAAACCAAACACAACCCACAATTCCTCGATTCGCTCCGATGAAGGGCTAATGCTTGATACGTCAGCTTTTGAATCTCTTTACGGTGGCCAATTCACATTATCAACCCAGTTGATAAAAACAAATTATCTTGTTACACTCCCCACCGACACAGGACCACAGTTTCTTTAGAAACTTACCCCACATATTATAAAAGATCGTCAAAAATACTCTGCTACTCTCTTCTTGGTACATGTTTGGAAATGCAGTCAAACACAGTCTTTTGTGTTTGATATAACATCAATAATAGTTGCATTGAACTAGAGTACATGCATAAGCATTGAACAGATAAACTCAATACCACCTAGGCCAGGCTTGCAAATTCTTTAGAGTTATTAATTAAATCCTGATAGGTCATTAATAAAAGAAATACAGATGGCATAAATTATGCTTTCAAAAAGTCTTAAAGTAGTCTTCTGAAACATGCAAAATATTTCACCTGTATGTTGCTGCCAATTTGAAAACTAAAAGACCCTTTTCATAAACAGCTGCCAATGAAAAATCCTTTTGTATGCATTTAAATTAGCCTTGAGCACTAAACTCGTTTGAGAGTAAAAATNAAACACACTAGTCTTATTTACTTACGTTCTACAAAATAACAGCCCAGTAATGATCTTGTACATAACAACGATCAAGCGCAATGGAAGGAATGTAAACATGAATAAAAAACAATCCAGGCACAACATGAAACCAAATATCATCAACTGAAAAACAAAACAAAGTAGACACAAGATATTAAAAAATAACACATTGATTAAACTAACTTGCTAATTGTTCAGCCATGATAAAGCCATTGGCCAATCTATACAAGTGAGCATTTGAAGTACTGATGATTATCCTAACTTGGTTTTCTCAAAATCATTAATTATTCATCTAGTTAAAGAAAGGAAATTGAGACCATGACAGTGAACGGATAATTGATCTTAATCCATAATTTTGGATATTTTTACAATACTTTATTTCTGTTTTCTCCTCAGTTTTAGTTTCAATTGAGAAGACATATCAAACACTCAAGACAGTGTTTAACCACATTTCCAAACACCTCTATAAAATAATAAACTCAATACCACCTAGGCCAGGCTTGCAAATTCTTTAGAGTTATTAATTAAATCCTGGTAGGTCATTAATAAAAGAAATACAGATGGCATAAATTATGCTTTCAAAAAGTCTTAAAGTAGTCTTCTGAAACATGCAAAATATTTCACCTGTATGTTGCTGCCAATTTGAAAACTAAAAGACCCTTTTCATAAACAGCTGCCAATGAAAAATCCTTTTGTATGCATTTAAATTAGCCTTGAGCACTAAACTCGTTTGAGAGTAAAAATTATCAACTCTAATTTTAATTATCTAGCCTAATTTTAATACATTACAAAACAATTCTTAATAATTATAAATTGTTTTGTAAGTATTAAAATTAGCCTAACTCACTTCTTTTGTGAGTTAATAATTTTTAATCTTTATTGGCAGTCATTTATGAAAGGAATCCATGAACAAACAATAAACACCTGCCCAATACCTTCTCAAATTCCCTTGGAATTTTCATGAATGTGTAAACCTTCTCCCGTCTTTCTGTGTATTTGTCTTCCTCAAGTTCCATGAGCTTACCAGAGAAAACCTCTGCCATGACATACTTCATAAATGACAACTCTGAAATTAGATTGCAGATCATGTTCTTGTGATTATTGGGGAGATCCAACAGGAAGTCCAACAGAAATCTCTGTTTTTACAGGGATCTAACCTGGAAAACAGCACTGGCAGTTATTTGTGTGACAAAAAGCCCCTTTTTCTGGATCGTGATCAGAATCAAAATTTTTTTTTCCTGTTTACAATCTAAGAGGGATTCATTATGAATTCAAATCCCACAGGCACATTTATTTATACCATTGAAAACATCTGCTTATGACTAGACACAAGATCCTCTTACATGTGGCATGTTACATGAGGCAAGACTACAGTCGAACCCCCACTACTGCCAACTCTCTATAATGACCACTTTTTTAGTGTCCTGGTGGATGATTCATAAACCCACTCTTATTCAAACCTCGCTACAAGGCTAGAGCCCCTTTCCACAATGGTAATGGCCACTAAAGTACAGCCCAACTGCCAAAATAGCCGAGGAAAAATGGTGTAAAAAAAAAAAAAAAAAA